AAAAAATAGATCTCCATCCCTCCAGATGCTGGCAACCACCATGCAGTATTCTGTGTCTGTGAATTTGCTACTCTAGGTACTTCATGTAGGTGGAATCACACAGTATCTGTCCTTGTGTGACTGGCTCGTTGCACTATAGCGTGAGTCAGAATGTCCTGTTTTTGAGACTGAACAACATTCCCTTGTATGTGTATACCAGCTTGTGTTTATCTGTTTCTTCATCAATGGGCGCTTGGATTATTTTTGCCTAATTGTGAATAATGCTACTATGAACAGATATATCTATGTGTTTATATCTATATCTATATCTATATCTATATCTATATCTATATCTATATCTATATCTATATGTTTATCTATATCTAATCATCTATCTAGTTCCTGGTTTCAGCCCTCTGGGTAAATACACAGAAGTGAAATTACTGGATGAAATTGTAATTCTATTTTTAGTGTTTTGAGGACCTGCCATACTGTTTTTTATTTTATTTTATTTATTTAAAAAATTACTTATGTGGGGTTTTTTTTTTATTGGTTTTTAACTCATCTGTATTGTTGAATGTATTATAGATGTTCCTCCTTTTTTGCTTCGTTGACCCCGCCTCCCCAGTTCTCCCCCCCTCCAGCCTTCCTCACACTATTGTCAGTATCTATTGTTTATGAATATAAGCGTAGAAGTTTTTGGTTTATCTCATCCTGCCCTCCCTCTCCCCTTCCCTTTAAGGTTCATCATTCTAACAACCAATTTGTACTTCTTAATTTCTTCGTTTTTTCACCCTTCCCCTCAGCCCCCACCCCTCTGGCAAGCAACAAAAAGTTCTCTGTATCTATGAGTCTGTTTCTGTTCTGTTGCTCATGTTGTTTGTAGACTCCATTGTTGATAGCTATGTATTAATTTCCATTTAGTTGTTCATATTTGTGTTCTTCTTCTCCTTCAAGAAGACCCTTCAACATTCCCGATAATACTGGTTTGGTGGTGATGAACTCCTTCAGCTTTTTCTTGTCTGGGAAGCTCTTGATATGTCCATGGATTCTGCGTGATAGCTTTGCAGGATAGAGTAGTCTTGGTTGTAGGTCGTTGCTTTTCATCACCTTGGCTATCTCTCGCCACTCCTTTCTGGCCTGCAAAGTTGCTTTTGAGAAATCAGCTGACGGTGTTATGAAAGCTCTTTTGTAGGTAACGAACTGCCATACTGTTTTTTAAAGTAGATGCACAGTTTTGGACTAGAGAGCAAAGCACAAGAGTTTCCTTTTCTCCATATTCACTCCATCTGTTTTTATTTCCTGGTTTTTAGGGTTTCAAAAATAATAATAACCATCAATAGTAATAATGGCAGTACCTTGTTGTGTGGTTTTAATTTATATTTTCCTGTAGTAGTGATGTTGTGCATATTTGTACGTGTTTATTGACCATGCATATATCTTTATAAAATGTCTATTCAAATCATAAGCCAAATTTTAAATTGGGTTGTTGGTTTTGTTGTAATGACTTTAAAAAAAAATAAAACCAGCCCTGGCCTGTTTTGCAGTGGTTAGAGCATCAGCATGCGGTCCAGAGAGGCCCAGGTTCGGTTCCCGCTAAGGGCATGTACCTCGGTTGCAGTCTGTCTCTGGCCCTGCTTGGGTCGTGCGGGTGGCAACCACTCGATGTGTCCCTTTTATGTTGATGTTTCTCTCTCTCTCTCCTCTTTGCTCTCCCTCCCACTCTATCTGAACAAAAAATGAAAAAAATTAAAAATTAAAATAAAATAATAAAACTCGGTTTATTTTTTATTTATTGCTTTGTTGAGAGTCCTGAATATATTCTGGATACATGTTGTTATTCATCACGTATGTATTTGCACATATTTTCTCCAAGTCTGTAACCTTTCCTTTCTCTCTCTCTCTCTCTCTCTCTCTCTCTCTCGTCTACTTTTTTATTTTTTGGCCATCGTAAAGGTCGCCTTTATTTCTTTAATTTTTTTCATTTAATTTTTTCTCTTTTTTTTTGTAATTTTTATTAATTTATTTTTGTTACAAGTATTCTCATCCCCCCCAGACATCCTTCTCCAGATCCCGCCCTGACCCCCACCCCAGCATTGTTATCTATGTCCATTGGTTACACATACGTGCATATAAGTTCTTTCATTTATCTCATCCCTACCCCCGCCCCCTCCTCTGAGGTTTGTCAGTCGTGGTGGCTTTTACAGAACAGTAAGCTCCTGGTTCTCAAAACATGTGCTACTCCTGAGGTCACCCACAAATGCATTTGAACATGAAAAAGCAGAGCAAACAAAATCTGGAGGCCAGATGGGGACATTCAGGGGGTGCAAGAGGTCACATGGGCAGTGCAGAGGGCTGAATGATGGCCATCCAAAGATGGCAGGATCTTAATCCCTGAAACCTGCAAATGAGACCTTATAAGGAAAAAGGGTTTGTGCAGATGGAATGAAGGTAAGGATCTTGACCTGGAGATCATGTTAGATTATTAGCATTGGTCCCTGAATCTAGTCACAGTGTCCAAGAAGAAAGAAGCAAGAGATGACTTTCTACACACACAGCAGGGTGAGGTGATGTGACCAGGAGACAGACTGCAGTGATGCTGCCACAAGCCAAGGACAACCGGCAGCCATATCACCTGGTAAAAGCAAGAGATGGATTCTCTCCTTGAGCCTCTGGAGACAGTGCCTCCCAACCAACAGCTGCACTTCTACAGAAGCCGACTCATGGCAGATACCAAAGTTCAGGACACATTAGCCCAAGAGGTGGCACCTAATCTTTCTTTGTCTTAGTCAAGAACTTAGAGGAACAGGGGCAGAAGATATTTTTACTCCCTGTGTGGATCCTGGCCTCAAACATGAAAAAAATAAATTTTCTTTTTTCTAAAGACGCTGAATGTGTGATCACTTGTCCCGATGGCTCCAGGAAACCAACACAGAGGGGAAGAAGTGGGGCACCTTAGGGGGAACGCGGAGAAGGAATTGAGCAGAGACCACCTTCGCCGGACCCATTCCTGTTTCTCTTTGCAGCTAAATACCTCCAAAGGTTTGGAGGACCCACTCTTCCCACATCCCCTCTTCCAATTCTCTCTGAAGATGCTCCAGCCACATCTTCACAACTTTCTCAGCAGCCACTGAAGCCCCTGTTATCAGGACCTCCAATGGCATTGTTTCCTTGTGTCTTTCTTCTCCGTGTGCCATCAGAACTTCCTCTTCCTCACCTGTTGTCATCATCTGACACTGACTATATGTGTTCACCTCTCCCGTCTGGAGCCCTCTCCTGATCTCCAGACTCTCACATCAGCTCTCTCCTGGACGTCCCCAGGGGGCTAGGAAGTGACTTCTCAGAATGAACATCACTCTGAAATCCCTCCCCTCTGTGTCCATGAAACCCTAACCATCCTTTCCGAGGCTCAAGGGAAACAGTTGGGCATTATCCTCACTGTTGCCTTTCCCTCAACCTTCATATCCAAGAGAAAACTCAATCAACTTGAACTTCAAAATATATCCAAACATAAAACCTTGCCGTCCACTTCACCTCCTTGGTTCAACTGCCATCCCTTCCTGCCTCCTGTGCCCTCCCCAATCTCTGGATGCTATGGGTCCACTTTGGCCTATGCTGAAGAGAGCAGCTAGGGATCCTGGTAGAAAGAGCATTCAATCATGTCTCTACTCTCCTCAAAGTTCTCCAGATTCCTGCATTTGCGGCAAGGCCTCCCAGGCTGCACACCATCGGGCCTGTGCCACCAACCACCATCTTCTCTCCCAGGTGGCCCTGTGCTGTCCACTCTGAGATTTGTTTCCACACCAACCCAGGCTGCTTGTGCCTCAGAGCTGCTCCTCATCTTCCCGGCTAATCTCTAGGGAAACACCAAGTCCACTCCCACTATCCTCAAGTCTAGCCCTTAACTCACAGCTCACACCCTTAGATGTTGGGAATTGTCCACATGCATGTCACCTGATCCTTTCCTTGAATGATTCCTCCCTAAACACATAGTGCCATCCCGCAGGCTCTAATATATATATATATATATATATATATATATATATATGTATATAATTTTTAAAAATCCTCACCTGAAGGTATTTTTCCATTGATTTTCAAACAGAGTGTGAAGGAGTGTGTGTGTGTGACAGGGAGAGAGGGAGAGAGAGAGAAACATGGGTGTGAGAGAGACACACCAATTGGTTGCCCCCTGCAAGACCCCGACCAGGGCTGGAGATCGAATTGCAACCAATATGCATGCCCTTGACTGGAATCGAACCTGCAACTCTTTGGTCCGGGGGTTGATGTTCCAACTGCTGAGCCACACTGTCCAGAGCAGGCTCTAACATTTTTATTTAGTAATTTTAAATTCTATTTTTCTGGATGACAGAGGTGATTGATGCTGGGTTCATAGGTGTACCCCGAATATCTACAACAATGCTGGCGCACAGTAGGTATTCAATTATGCTTGATAAAGACTAAATGACTATATATTGTTTTCAAAACCATACAAGAATCACACACACACACACACTTACACTCACACACATATAATGAGGTGACTTTTACTTTATTTTTTAATCCTCACCCAAGGATATTTTTCCATTAATCTTCAGAGTGGGGGTGGGTGGAGAGAAACATCGATGTGAGAGAGACACATGGACTGGTTGCCTACTGCATGGCCCAGACTAGGGCTGGGGACCGACCCTTGACCGGAATCTAACCTACGGCTCTTTGCTCCACAGGTCGACACTCTGACTGCTGAGCCAAACGGGCCAGGGCATGCAGTGATGTTCACTGAGCCTGAAGTGTGATCAGCACTGGGACATGTAGGAATGGAGACAGAGAGCATTGCAGCTGGAGGACCTGCACATGTAAAGTCTCCGAATCATAAAGTCTTGGGCCTGGTTTTAGGTGGAGGGGCTGCGGGATTCGGGGAGACGTAGAGTCCGGTGGAGTGTCTGGAGGAGGACAGACCACCCCAGGCCTTCAGACCCAGCCTGTAGCATTTGCACCTCATCTCTAGACAAGAAGCGGAAATGTCACTGCTCAAACTGTGCAGAAAGTGGACTCTATGTCTCTGGAAACGCAATCTGGAGGCAGGAGGTTGGTGGGGTCAGAGACCCGGGGAAGAGATTAGGCCACAGGAACTATCAAGGTCACTAGAAGGAGAAGGTGGCCATTACGCCGAGCTGTGATTAGAAAGAAGGATGGACACGTCTTAGTAGATCAGGGGGAAGGGAGGAGGGGCAAAGTACAGAACTGCACCCCAGATGGGGCCTTAGAAATGGGGGCAGCCCTGTCATCGCTCTGACGGGGAGTCCAGCAGAGAAGTGGGTTTGGGGAGAAAGATGACAGCTCCATTTGATCAATGCTGAGAGGAGCAATCCCAGGGGCCTCCCTGGGGGAAGGGGCAGTGGAATGTTGTGTGGTGAGATACCTATACCACTCACCTGACAGATTAACCTGAGATGGTGTGTTTGCATCCTTCATGAGACCCTTTGGGCATCAGTGCCTTCCTCCTGTGGTACATGACTCTGAGGGAAAAGACCAGGGTCTTTCAATCTGGTCGGATCAGGGTGCAGTGGCAGCAGACCCACCCCCTGTTCCCTGTCCAGGGGCTAGAGGGGAGACTGAAGAGCAGAGGGTGGGTCTGGCCCCACCGACCCTCAGCACTGCAGGTACCTCTCACCTTGAGCCCTTGGCATGCATGACAACTGACCACGTGAAGTCCTCACCCACCCCCCTTCCTGCTGGCTCTGTGCCTGACCCATCGGGACCCCAGGCCCTGGTTCTAGACTCAGCCGCATGCCTCCCCTTCCCCTTGGGGCTGAGCTCACATGAGGATGATGAGGCAGAGGAAGAGGAGCAGAGTCTTCACAACTGTCCCCATGATGGCCTCCAGCACCACCTCTGCCCCAGGTCCTGATGATCCTGCAGGAAAGAGGGAAGAAGATGGAGTCACCTGCTCGACAGCAGTCCTGTGTCCTTCTGCTCCTGCTAGGACCCTAGATGTTGTTCTCCAGGTCTTCCGGCCTCACTGGCTGCGGTACCACCTGGGCCCTCACCCCAGACTCTCCCCTGACCCCCAGTACTTGGACTAAAAATTAAATGCACAAGTTAGAATTCAAAAAAATGAAACATTCTCTTCAGCAACTGACACTATGGAGAAAGTGAAAAGCCAACCCATTTAATGGGAGAAAATATTTGCTAATCGTAGAATGGATAAGGATTAGTATCTAGCATATATAAAGAACTCTTACAACTCAACAACAAAACGTCAAAACACCTGATTTTAAAAAATGGGCAGAAAACTGGGGAAAAAAAAAGTTCTTCAATGGTGACATACAAATGAATAATAATTCCATGAGAAAACATAATTGGCATCGTTATTACCACAGAAATGCAAATCAAAGCCACAGAACAAGAGCCTTTCACACCTATTAGTAGCCTATACTTTTTTTTTAAAAGGAAAATACCGATGTTAATAATCGTTCGGACAAATTGGAAGCTTTATACTCTGCTGGTGGGAATGTAAAATGTGGTGCCCCTGTGGAAAGCAGTCTGGAATTTCCTCAAAAAGTTATACATAATAAGTACCATTGCACTGCGCAATTCCACTCCCTGGTTTCTGATCTGAAAAAAAAAAAAACCGCAGGAAAAAACAGAAAACATATTTGAACAAAAAAAGTATACAGCAATATCCACAGCGGTATTATAACAGCCCCAAAGTGAAAATACCCAAATGTCCATCAACGGAGCAATGTGTGAACTGAATGTGATCCACCGATGCAGAGGATTGTTATTCCGACAACAGCTTCACGCCACGGTTCCCCGGCAGAGAACCATGTGCACACAGCCAGAACCCGCCCAGTCCGTGGAGTGCTCCCCAGTCACGAGGGGCATGGGGACACCTGCCCGGGTGATGTCGAAAGATCTGTTTGATTCTTCAG